AACAACAACAACAACAACAACAACAACAACAACTGTGGGGTCCTTGGTGCTCTCTCAGCTTGGTTGCTTTCTTGCAGATGTTTCGTGACCCAACTAAGTAACCTCATCAGTGCTAGAAGGGAGTGGGGTTTGCAAACAGGAGGAAGATCACAGGACCTTGGGACACTGCAAGCATTGTAAATACAGGCCAGTGGCCAAAAATGCTCAAAGTTTTGACCACGTGACTATGGGACGGCTGCAACAGTCGTTCAGTGCGAGGACCTGTTGCAAGTCATTTTATTCAGTGCACTTGTAACTCTGAACAGTCACTAACGGGACGGTTGTGAGTCAAGGACCACAGACGGAAACTTTTGAGTCTGTCATCTGTTCTTTAATAACTGTCTGGTTTGCCACAGCAACCCAACAGGACAGGGGCAGACTTGAACAGATAGTTAGGAATCGCAACCGGCCTGCCTTCTGTTGAGGACCTTTAAACTGCAGAAAGAGGGCTGAGAAAATATTATACAGACCCCTCACAACTTGGACATAAACTCTTTCAACTTCTTCCCCTCAGGACGCTGCTGTAGGGCATTGCTTGCCAAAACAACTAGACACAAAGATGAGTTTTTTCCCCTTCCTTCCATCACTCCGCTGCACACCTAGTTCACACAGCACTGTCTTGTGCCTCGGTATATTTACCCATGGGGTATGGCTGTGATATTATTATCCTTTTCATCTTTTCTACTACCTTCTCTTATTTGTATCATTATGATGATTATCACTGTGGTTTTGCATATACACTGAGAGCTAATGCACCAGACACAAATTCCTTGTATCTAATCACACTTGTCCAAATATTCTATTCTATTCTGTTCTCCATTCTATTCTATCCTATCTTATTCTCATCTACTCTCATTCTATTCTGTTGTTCTCCATTCTATTCTATTCTCCATTCTATTCTAATTTCTATTCTCTATCCTATTTTCTATTCTATTCTATCCTCTTCTATTCTATCTTATTCTCATCTACTCTTTCTATTCTGTTGTTCTCCATTCTATTCTATTGTTCTCCATTCTATTCTATTCTAATTTCTGTTCTCTATCCTATTTTCTATTCTATCCTATCTTATTCCCATCTACTTTCATTCTATTCCCATTCTATTCTGTTCTATTCTATTCTGTTGTTCTCCATTCTATTCTATTCTGTTCTCCATTCTATTCTATTCTTCTCCATTCTATTCTGTTCTCCATTCTGTTCTGTTCTATTCTAATTTCTATTCTCTATCCTATTTTCTATTCTATCCTATTCTCATCTACTCTTTCTATTCCCATTCTATTCTATTCTGTCCTATTCTTTTCTATCTTATTCTCATTCTTTTCCTATTCCTATTCTATTCTAATTCTATTCTGTTATTTCTATTCTATTCTATCCTAGTCTCTTCTATCCTATCCTCTTCTCATTCTATTCCTATTCTAATTCTATTCTGTTGTTATTCTATTCTATTCTATTCTATTCTATTCTATTCTATTCTATTCTATTCTATTCTATTCTAATTCTATTCTGTTGTTATTCTATTCTGTTCTGTTCTGTTCTATTCCATTCTATTTATTCCATATTCTATTCTATTCTATTCTATTCTATTCTATTCTATTCTATTCTATTCTTACTCCTATTATTTCTATTTCTATTCTCTTTGCCACAGGATAAACGTGATTTGCTGTTTCATTCTTACTGATTGTTTTTCCCCACTTCCTTCCCTATTCTAACATCTGGGTTTTGGTGACGTAATCCTTGTGCGGAAGAGACTAACCAGATCTCTCCCTGCTTAAGCTTTCTGCCACGATCTACTAAATTGGCTCTGTTGCTGCCCTCTGCAGGAAATTTTAAGGCACCCATTATTAAATGAACTTCAGTCAATTTGGCATCTGCCACCCTTGTGCACAGAGAATGAGGTGGCTGGAGGGAGTCACTGAAGCAGCAGGTGTGAGCTTCAATGGACTCCAGAAGATGGAAGAGGACAGGAAGGCCTGGAGGAACGTGGTCCACGGGGTTGCGATGGGTCGCACACCACTTCGCAACTAACAACCACAACCCTTGTGCAAGAGAGACATAGTTTATTGCCGGGGGCAGTCACTATGAAACAGAGAGACATGATTCACGTTATACAGCCGTGCGAGCCGGTTCTCCAACTGGCCCAGAGTGAATTTTTCCACCACGTTTTGGTCATTCCTAGCAAGGATGGCCCAGGATCTCAGGTGATTGTTGTCTATCACACAGCAGGCCGCAGACCACATGTGGCTGGGCCTGTTGACCCTCCCGCCAGATACGTAGGTGTCTCCTGGCACTGCCCCCACCACCGCAAAGGTCTGCTGGCACCCTTTGGTCATCTGAACCATGGTGGTTTGCTCGTAGTTGTTCCAGTTTCCGCCGTTGAGTTTTATGAACTGCGGGACGATGTTGGTCAGGGTGAAAGTGGACGACTTGGCGGCGTAGTCTGGCTGGTGCCCGTTTGGGTT